TTGTTGAAAAAAGTGGAAATATAGGTGTCCTTGGTAAGTTTATTGGATGATAACTGACATATACTCTTTTTCTAAGATGGGAGGTGTAAATCCCCCGAGTTCTACTATGGTCTTTTCAATCTTTTTTCATGTGATCAATTGCTAGGTCAAATGAGGCATAGAAGCCCCTTCGGTTTGGATTTGCTCAATTGTTTACAAACAAAAATCGACCCATATCATCAAAGGCGACGACTAACGTGCTTGTTTTGCAGGTGAATTCCTCACAGCTTTACAAGCAAATTTCAGCAATATCCAAAGACTGCTATTGTAACGTGCTTTCATGGAGATAAGAGGGATTTCTGAAACCTTCTAATTTATTTCACAAAATGTGAGAAGTATCATCTCCCACTGATTTTGGGATTGAATATAGTGATGCAGCTTTTGCCCTCTTTTCAACTTCAAAAGTTTTGGTGGTTCACACGGTTGGAACTGAAATGTCTTCAACACAGCCAAACTTCGAGGTGCCATTTAATTAAGCAACCTTTTCCATGATGACCCAAAGTCCTCTGTCAAGGAATCATGGACTACTCGTCTTTGAGTGTCATTTTTTTTCTAATAATGGCTTCTTTCTTCTGAAAATTTTGAATAATTTTTTAGTGGTCTTGTTGTGCGATCTGTCAGCCCCCAAACTCCATTCTATTTCGAGAAAATAAATGAAATTGGCTATATCAATTGGCTATATCAATTGGCTATCAATTGGCTATCAATTGGCATCAATGGTTTTTAAGCTGTTTAGCTTTAAAAACCATAAGAATGAAGTTAAATTATAAGAGATATCCTTAACTTTTAACTTTCAGTCCTCTGTCAAGGAATCATAGACTACTTTTGTTCGAATTAAGTTAGAAAAACAACATTTATAAACAATGTTGAACTTCTAACAATTTTTTAAACGAAGGCAATGTTGCACGGCAAAGGAAAAAAAAAACCATTTTCTCAACTAAAGGTCTGAGAGGGTTATAGAGAGATGGTAGAGATTATCAAGTACGTTTTCAACATTTCCTCGACCGTTAGACAGATAAAAACCCCTCGTCGAGATGGCCTGACCTTCTAACATCTCGATACGCATTTAAAACACCGAATAGAAAATTCGGATCTGCTCTAAATAAATACGAGATAACGATTCTGGAAAACAATAGTTAGGACAAGAACTTGAGTTCCATTACAATCATTCACATTCTGGATTCAAGGTAGAATTTGGTTTGAAAGCAAGTGGTTCATACCATCGAGGCCCAAAACCAGCAGCTTTTCTTGCCACTTCGTTGAAAGGTGGCTTCAATGGCCCCCTGAAGTGCTTTCTCACAATTGCATGAAATTTGTGAATTATTTCTTCGTTCTCCATTTCCAATGATGCATTATCCTCAGCCCCATCTTGATGTAGCAGCAGCAAGCCATCCCGATCCAACGTCTGTTTTCCAGATCTCTGGCAAAGATATCTGAACCATTTAACTCCAGCAGCACAGTGGGTTACTTCTTCTGGGTACACTACTTTCTCCAACAAATCTGCAGTCTCATTGTCACCTCCATTTCGGAATCGAGAGATGGTGGTGGGAAGCACATCCAGCCCTCTAGCCTGTTCATACAATTCATTCAAGAACGGATTTTATCAAAATATCACATAATATTTTCGGTACTATATATAAATGTACAGTTCTAAGAGCTTCAAAATTATAGGCTTGCAAGAGATGAGATATTTCCCTAGTAACACTTTTTTCAAACAGATTTTTCTAGTGTTCCTTCCAAATACACCTTAAATGTCTGTCTATTAGGGACGAACACTTGCTCATATTTAATCAATCATCATCAAAATAAATCTATACAAATGAATAAATATAATAAGTTAGTTCTAGGTTTGAACGTTATTTTAATCCCCCAAATATCAAAATTTTGTTCTTGGCAATTTTCCTTTAGTAATTTTGGTTCTTCAATTTCACGTAAAGATGTATATTAGTAATTTAGTGAAGGATTTTCATGTTCTAGACAGTTCTTAACCTCTTTTGCTAACTCTACCATCAAATTAGAAAATAGATAAAAAGGACAACTTTATAAACAAAGTGGAGAAACTAAATAAAACGAAAACTACAATGAAAAAATCATCACAACCCATGTAAATAAAATTTCAACCTCAATTCTATCACCAGATCTTAGACATTGATTGACGTAGAAAGCTTGTTAATTGAAGATAAATAGAATTAATCTATATCCTCATCACTAGCAAACACTTGATGAAGCTCATTCTCGTTAACTCCATATCATCAACTAAATAAATTATGAACGCACCTCATGGACGCAATGCTCAATAGCCAAGCGTGCTAATAAATCCTTGGAAGTAGCAATAGCAGAATCCCAAAGGCCGTCGTGAGCGGGTAGTGCTCCATAGAAAGAGCCCAGTTCCTTAAGTCGTGCAGCAAGAAGAGTAAAATGTCTACCTTCATCCTGGGCTACCCTAACAAAATCAGTGAAGAATTCTCTTGGCATCTCTTCTTGTTTCCCAAAACGAGCTATTATGTCCTACAGAGTATTAAAACGTTAAAATTTAGCCGAGTCAACACTGCAAGAAAAAATAACTTGATGGATCCATGAACAGATGAGTGAAGAACTAGTAGAAGTTAATGTTAGTGTCCCAGAAATGGATGTTTGCAAGGCAATCGTCTAATCCATGAAGAACTAAAAGATACCGCAAAAGTTATATAAAACTAGTAGTTCTTGCAAAAATTAAATATGCATCAAGTGATAAGAAGACAATTTGACTACCCAAGCATAACTCAACTAGTTATAGTATATGCTCTTAACTTCAAGTTAGAGGCTTTCCATCCAATTGTTGAGGAACTCAATGGATATGGTTTCTTGCAATTACCAGTCACTCCCTAAAGGCAATTAGGCGTAAATTTTCCATCGTAGGTAAGAGCAAGAGAATATCAGGCAGCCATAAAATAATCAAAGGCTCATAATACAAGGGCCAAGCAAAAGTATGCACAAGTACAATAATAACCGGGGCAAAAATCAATTTCCATATCAAATTTTACCTTTCAGTTTCTCAAATTACACCATAAACTTTATGAAGTGTTGTAATCTTAACCCAAATCTTATGCATCATTGAAATTTTTACCATCTAATAAGTTTTTGGTCAAAAGATCATTACAAAATGTATACTAATACGTGTTCAATTAAAAGCATATGTATGGAGCAAATTTTCAAAAATGTCACATTAGAACTTATATTTCGTTGATCTACTTAATTTTATATAAACCCTCAATTTTATTGAAATTAATGATATTATACATATTTATATATTGTTTTTTTCTTAATATTAGTGAGTGAATTAACGAACATAGATAAAATGGATCCAACATACCCAAGGGGAATGCCAAATAGGGGAGCTATAGAATAAAAAATTGACCAAGGGGAACGCCAAACGAGACTAAAAGCAGCCACACATAGAAATACCGAAGTAAGTATCATTTCAACTCTTAGATGGGCGAAAGAGAATCGATAACAACATTCGAGAAAGAACGGATTCTCTAACAATTCAGAGGGAGAGAATAAGAAATGAACAAAAAGAGCTTAGGGTTTACTAAAGCCTCCAAAATCGAACAGAGAAACATAAAATAACAATAGGATTTAATTAAAACCTACAATTCACTGACTCAAGATAAATCGTAATTGAAAATAAAGAGACAATGTACCCACGACAAATCGATAGCCCAACTTTCGGTGTGGACAAGACTATGCACAATAGCCTGCCGGCTCTGTAAGCTTCCCGCCTTCCCAAGCTTCGGCATGAGACTCGGCGACACCAACTTCACCTGAACCATTTCAGAAACCACTTCAACGCAGAGATTCTTCAAACCTGACACCATTACAATCAACATACAATATATATATATATATATATATATATATATACACACACACACATATATACACGAAAAGATGAGAAATAAAGTGGATTGTTACATCAGAGAGCCTGGCGGGGCGGTCGGGGACGGCGAGATCGGAGGAGGGATCGTAAGGGCGAGAAATCACGCCGTTGAGCCATCGAGAAGCTACCTTGTCGCCGAGTTCGGCCTTCTCGAAGGGATCGGAAGTGTTGAGGACTCGAAGCGCCGCTTCAACCAAGGTCTCGTCTGCCATCGTCTCGTTCTGCCTAAATTCCCGCCTCTTCTTCCATTGCCGCGACTTCAAGAAGCTCCGCACAGGATATAGACAGTGAATGATGAAACGTGATGGGCTGAACTGGACTGGGCCTGATTTTGGCCCATTTCCATGTTAGAATTTGTTCCTGGGCCTGGGCCGAAATTTAGGAATAAAAAATGGGCCGGGTTGTATTTGTAAAGCCCACTCAAATCGTTGGGTCTTTTTTTTCTTCCTTTTTAAAAAAAAAATAATTAAAGCAAAATTAGTATCTATTTTTCAAATGCCAAAAACAAAAAAATTAATAATTTGTTTTTAATTTGATAGAAAAACCAATTTTTTTTTTTGAAAATCAAATAGTTATTGAAAAAAACTTAATTTTTACTTAACATAAAATTTTAAAAATACATAATTAAATTGTTTAATCAAATTTCATTTTAAAGAGTAACAAATGTATCAAATTCGATCGTATATTCAATTGTTGCACCAAAATTCACAATAACCTAACAAAAAATCATTACGTTTAGAACTATTTTATCATAGATACAAAACGTACAAGTTAATCTTTAAAATTAAATTTAAATTTAACAAAACGAGACACTCGAGAAAATTATCGATTCAAAAAACTTGAGTAATGTTTGAGAGAGTGCTCTCAACATGGCCCAAAGCACTCATGTGACTATAAACACTTCTTTATGGATTCAAACGTCAATGTTTGAGAGTGCTCTCGACATGACCTGAAGCACTCATGTTACTATAAACACTTCTTCGTGGATCACGACGTTTGAATTTGGATCAGAGTACTTTTAAAAGAAAAAGATACTCATTGGGAACTAAACTTGGGCATTGTTCTAAGTTGAAAAATTCAGAAGCAATATAAGAACTTGAAAGGAATCATAATATTCTGTTGTGTGCCCTAGTTGGTGGATAATTGTGATGGTGCAATGATGAAATTCCAACACCATATCTTCCTTCATTGTTCCATCTTAAAGAAGGATGCTGATTCATTTCACCACTCACACCACAACAAGTGGAAGGCAAGTAGCCAAGACTCAAGATTGAGACTTGTGATGCCCTATTTTCCATGCCTAAATTCCTAGAAAGGACCACATACCCGAGAATCTCGTGGATTCACGTTGTGGTTCGCGGTGGTATTATCGCCCAAACAAGAAATAAGAACAAATAAATTGCGGGTAAAAAACTACGAGAGAATAGGTTCAATCTATGGTGACCACCAACTTAAAGTTTAATATCCTACGAGCTATCTTGACAATCAAATATAGTTGAATCAGTCAACTATCTCATCATAATAATCAATGTGCATGTAAGATGGCTCGAAGTTAAACCACCAGGATCAATGTGCGTGTAAGATGGCTCGAAGTTAATCCACCAGGATCTTTCACAATCGAGTCACTAGAAGACTACATGTGGATAAGGATGAGAATTAAAGAGAGCACCAAGAAATTGTGAAATATACCTAGAAATCAATGTCAGTCAAACACGCAATGAAATCCATGAGGAATGGCCACGGCAAGAATCAATGTTCCTGATAACTGGCAACCAAGCTGAAACTATTTAAGATCAAATCACAAAATTTACAACCATATATTGAATAAGAAAGGGAATGGATTATAAAAATTTGTGAAGAATTCTACTTGGAAGCATCGTGCTCGGTCTCGAGCGATTTTCTATATGTAATGGCAAGCCTATGTATAGTAGATATCTTACATACCTGGAAAACGTATTACTGATACATATACAACTTTCAAGGAGTGACGACTTAATAGTGGCAAACCATACTTTTACGAGGATGGGAGTAAAGCTCAATTGCACAAGCTGAATAACTCTATATAAAAGTAAAAGAATGTTAAAAAGCTCAAACCTATCTCGTCGATAGCGACTTCTGGTATTGGAGTACTGATAATGTAACCAAGTAGCGACGGTTGTGGCTCTCTCTCTGGTGCTGCTTCCAATTGGTCGATGTCGGTCTTGTAGAGCTGAGGAGGCCTCCTGTCGTTGGACGACTAGGGTGCAGTTTCAGTTACCAATACCAATAGAATGGAAAAGAATGTCACCTGACGATATCCAAATGTTCGTCATGTATTCTACTGCTGGCACACTCATTGAGAGCTTTCGCATTGTGTTCCCTACCAAACCTCCATAGGTAATTCAGACCGACAAGAAGTTCGGTAATGATGACTTCGGTCTTTTCTTGATTGGCAAAGAAAAGGGTTTGTACAAGAAGCATATTAGTTCTGGAAACAAAATTCTGTTGTTCGAAACTACGTTCAGATTGCCATCTAACCATGTTATGAGCCAGTGGAGCAAGCCATTCTAATATCCCAGCTATTGCGTCGTTCCACTCAACTGCAAGCCCGGTGTCATAGGTAGATGAAGCCAAGCTCTTGGCATATGGCTTTAGGGCTGCCCTAAGGCTAGCTCGAACTTTAGCTGGCAGCATATTGTAGAGGTCATCTCTAGCATCCAGGCCAATCAAATGAGGAGATGCAGCAAGCTTCTCAATTACAATGATGACATTTGCATAGTGCAGAGCCAAAGCAGCTCCACCTAGAGTCTCGGGCGGGGCGTCCAACAATCGGCACTTGGTACCGAGCAACTCTCTGCAAGGGTTGGCTTTGTTGCAAGGATCAACTATCTTTCCAGCATCTTTGGCTCCATTGATAAGCTGTGAATGATGCCCATTTGAACTAATGTGACAATTGGTGACCGTAGAACTAGGGCCAGACATCATGCATCCTTTAAAAGGTCCAACTTGAGTCAGTCTATTTGGCTTCTGATGAGATTTTTTCCCATTAAATAGGGAAGAGTAACCACCGGCAAACCAATTCTTATGATTGGTTTTATGGTCTATTCCAGAAACTGGACCCGATCTTATCGTTGAACTTGTGAGAGGACCCGAATAAGAGTTGAAGTTTCTATTTGTTCCAGAAACAGGGCCGAAAATAGGACCTGATTTTGTAACAGAGCTGCCAAGAGGACCTGAATAAAAATTATTCGGCTTAGCTGTTTTCGAAATCGGCCCAGATTTAGTTGTAAACCTCTTTAGAGGACCTGATGCAAATTTAGTAAGTCCGTTCTCAGAGGGATGGACCATGGATTGCATTAGCGACGAAACTGATTGACTACGTGCTATATAGTCGGAATTCATATCTCGTGAATCATTTGTTTCATCAATCCCTGCGCTCTGCTCGATTCCGAACACATGTTTGATCCTACTGAATATTGTGAATATAGATCTAGCTAGAAGAAGAATTGTGTAATCATAGGTCCTTCTCCAAAGTGACATCTCTCGCAGATTTTTCACTTCCTGCTGCTTCCATTCGACCTTCTTTCGAAAATCAGCTAGGTTCACCGAACATGTGCCATCGTTAACCTTCATCCTCCTGAAAGTTTGCTCGAGTTCTACAAGCATCTCCATTTCCTGATACAAATTTGCATTGACTGAAATAAAGGTCTCCATCTTTTTCACTTTCTTTTCCATCTTCTTCCATGAGTATATCCAACAATAGGGATCAGCACCAATTTGAAGGAACTCATCAAAAGCATGCTCAAAGACTTTCAAACTAGGATCACTGCATTTCTTCCCAAGCCTGGCAACAGATTTAGCCACATGAGCTAAATTCTCCGTCATCTCGGAGCATATTAAACGTACAATATATTCATCGTCGTCCGACACAAGCTTCTTTATGCCCAATGAATTAGTTATATCTTCCCTCAACCTCCTAATTTGCTTATCGCTCAAAGAATGCCATAGATGAACCAACCTGGACATCAAGCTAGCAATTTCAAATGCCAATACTCCAATAACAACCTTCTGCGTGCTGGAATCACGCTTTCTCTGAGGCTTCCACAGACTGCGAAACCAAGATTCTGAAACCATCTTTCCACAATTTGAAAATTAAGATGTTTAAGAAGCTCACAACCACATCCCTTATTCTGTAGGGGAAGAAGAAAACCATAAACATTAATTAACTTAATAGAAATTTATAGTACAAAAACTTCAGTAGCAGAACGAGAGGAACATCCATCAACCAAGGAATTTTCTCCGACCGAAAATTCATAAGACACAATCCAAAAGACGATGTTCAAAGTCTGTTAGACCAAGACACTAAAACTACAAACAGAACCAATCACGCTCAAAATCATAAGCAAGCACAAAATTGCAAAATCGATGAAATAACAAATCAAATTAAGATTCCATATCATAAAAAGGTTCATTCCACTAACTCAACCAATCGAATCAAAATTCTCCAAGCTTTCCTCCCCCTTTACAATGAAAAAAGAAGAAGAAGAAGAAGAAACTCATAACATTCCAATTCCAATTGGATCTTTACCAGATTTCCACAGCCACCAAACTGCAACTCACAATTTCACAATAACAAAAAAAAAAGACAGATTCACAAGCTTCAAACTAGTAAAAGAACAGAATCCAAACACTCAAAATCTACTCCCTCCACAGCGAATACAATCAGCAACACAGCAAAAACTCTCAAATCCACCAACCTTCGGGCGATTTGCGAAGTTAAACATGAAATCAGTACACAGCTCCCGAAGTTGGAAAACCAGATTCGGAAAGTCGAAGAATCGATGAAGAATATCCATAAATAGACAGATTGCTGAAGGGAAAACAAAAAAGAAGCAGCAGAGGACTAACCGATCAGATACATACAGGCGCAGAAGCCCAACCAGAAGTCTTCCAGCGGAGATGAAGAATGAGAGTTCAGAGAGAGAAGAAGAAGCCAAGGAAGTAGCGACGAAGGTGCAGTGAAGACTTGGACCACAGGGAAGAAGGAAGAAATATTATAAATAAATAATAATAAATAAATAAAGGCCGAAAACGAGTGGAATTAAAGTGTCGCTTTTTCATTTTCCTTTTTTATTTTATTTTATTTATTTTCTCCCACTTTTACTTCCCACTCAACTCTCTCGCATTTACCTTTTTTTTTTTTATCAATAATAAAATATTCATAATTAATATAATTATTTTCATAATTAATAATTATCCGTTTAATATAAATATAATTATTTAAATGAAAAATATATCGATTGTAATATTAAAATTTAAATTTTTAAAAATTATGTCGGTAAAATATTTGCTTACAAAATATATTATTTATTATGATTTTTTACACTTTTTAATAAAAATTTTAAAATAATTATTTTTTAAAATAATAAATGAAAAAAAATTACCATTAGAGAATAAAATAGGTGGCTGAGAAGTGAACACGTTGGATGACTGTTCATTTATTAGAGAAGTAAATAAATGTTTAAATAATTATTATTTTCTTAATATGTATTTTAAGGTGAAAATCACATTTTCCACGGGGACTTTTAGAAATTATTATTAATTTAAATTGTGTTTTGTATAATTTATTTATTAATTTTAAATGATCATATGCGTTTTTCAATATTGGTTAAAATTAAAAATAAAAATGTTTATAAAAATTATATATTATTTCCGGTATACATTTCCACTATAAAAGTCAAAATTAAAATTAAAAATAAATAAAATAGAAACAAATAAGGAGAAAAAAAAAGAATTAAAAATGAATGGGTGAGTTTGGAAACGTGTGAATGAGTCAAGTAATGATTTCATAGATAATAGATATATTCAACACGTAAAAACGACTACCCCAAATATTTGACCCTTTGTTTTGTTGTACGCTTATTGGACCACTCGTTGTACACGTATTCACATCTACTTTTCATGCCAAATCATGTATAATATATAGTTTATAACTATATATTATCTTTTTTTTTTTTAATCAACATTTTAATTAGGATAGCTAAATTAATAATAATAAAAAAAAACTTTTAAATGTTGTAGGGTTATTGGAACTGGTATTGATACCATTTGTAACGGTTCAAGACCATCGTTAGCTGATATTGTCCTCTTTAAGCTTATCTTTGATATCAGTATATATTGAAATATACCATTTGTAACGGTCCAAGACCACCGTTAGAAAATATTGTCCTATTTCTTATGTTTGATATCAGTATATATTGAAATAGGAGGTGAGGATGGAGACAGTGATGCGTGTGTTGAGGTAGTGCTTTTTATTTTTTTAAATCTTCAAAATAAATTAATTTATTATATTTAGTTATGTAATAAATAAATAAATCATACTTCTCGCTAACCCACTATATCTAATTATATTTACTAATTTTACATCATAAATTATAATCATATCTTTAAAATCAATTTTCGTACAAATATTTCCAAATTTAAATAATATTTAAAAAACCAAATATTTTTTTCGAGTGGCATGATGAGAAATTAAGAAGCTAGGGTCCTTTTAATTTTAATTTTTAATTTTTTTTATTGGAATTTAATGATTTCTTTTGAATTTCTCTCAACATAATTAGGATGACTTTTGCCATGGTGTGGTGACCCATTTTCCCACTAATTTTGGAGGGTGATTTATTTTATTTTATTTCATGGAAAAATTTTGGGCTTTAGTTAGCAAATAATAATAATAATAATAATAAATAAATAAAAAGGCAAATGATTGATGAACTTAATATATATATTAATGATTTGTCAAATGTTAAATGAAAATCATATACATTAATGTTTCGGATATGATCACCAAATTTAAATATACGATATTTAGTTAAATGAAGATATCTCTAACATATTTGATATTATGTAAAATTAAAATATATATTATGTCTAAAATTTAAAACTTAGAATTTTGTAAAAATAGATTCCTAAACATAAATTCAATACAAATGAATCATGACTATTTATAATATATTTTTTTTAACCTTTAAACTTAGGCCTCCGCCAAGTATGAAAGCGACAGGTACAGTTGCCCCAAACAAGGCCCCATCTCATTTATACCCAACCATAAATCAATTCAACTTAAATTCCCACCATTTAATACTTATATAGATATATATATATATATATATATATAATTCTTTAACATGTTTCATAAACATGATCAGCATAATTCAATTGACTAAAAAAAATTCTGTCAAATTAAGAGAAAAAATTATTAAATAGTAGTTATAAGAAATTTTACCTTATACGAATATGACCACGACCGAGCGAATTATATTGAATGATTTCTTTAGTCTCATCATCACATGTTGAGAATGGAACGAGATGTACTGCTTGACTCGAAGCATATGTATAAAGTACCTAGACAATGAGAAGCTGAGTCACTTAGACAGAGGGAGCAGGCAATATCACATAGCACCAAATTCAAATATATGTAAACACAAAGTAAAATTATTTGGTTCATCGAGAACGTTCTCGACTCCGTACTCGTTAAGGTATCTCTACTTTTTGTGTTAAAAGGTATTGATTTGAATTCTTGGTCTAATAGTTATAAAGGGATATTATAAAATGAAAAGTTCTGAAGTTAATTAAATGAGAGGGGGCAATGCAAGCATAAAAAGCCACTTTCTAAAAGGACATTTTATTGAAATCAAAATCCCACTTGTTTTTTTTTTCTATGGTTTCTCCATCCATAGTCTTTGCGTCTTCTCAAACCTTTTTCTTTTTTCATTAATAAGCTTTTCCGGCGCTTTTGACTTGCTCGGGGTATGAGCAAAAGCTCCCTCAAGACCTTGAGAATCATTTTCCAGACAGTAAAAGAAAACCCTAAGCGTTGAGAAAAATTCCTATACTGTGGTTAAAAAAACTAAAAACAGATGCAGAAACAACCGTAAAAACAATGACAACGACGATAACAATGGCAGAAAGAACTAGGAGTGGGAAGCGAGGAGGGTGGGGGAGGGAGAAGAAACAGGGCTTGGAGAACGAGCCCAAGTTGTAAAACAAAAACTTAAATATAACAGCCCAGATCCACCGCTAGCAGATATTGTTCTCTTTGAACTTTGCCTTTCGGGTTTCTTCTCAAGGCTTTAAAACGCATCTGCTAGGAGAAGGTTTCCACACCCTTATAAAGGGTGTTTTGTTCTCTTTCCCAACCAATGTGGGACATCACATTAAACGTACATATGAAGACAAACATAATCTTCAAAAATCACCGGTCTAGAAGGATAAACCTTATGTTTGGAGATTTTATCTGGTCCTACGTCAGTTGAAGAGGAGAACGAAACATTCTTTATAAGAATATGAAAACTTCTCCTTACCAGACACGTTTAAAAAACCTTGAGGGGAAGCGCCAAAGGGAAAACCCAAAGACGACAATAGCTGCTAGCAATGGGCTTGGACAGTTACATTATCAATATCATTTGACCTCTTTTCTTTTTATCAATCCTCAGGAAGAGCATAGTAAGTATATAGCATATAAGCTTGTTTTGTTTTCATGCTTTTGAAGAACAGATCTTGTTAATACATTGATCACAATACACGGAGGGTGCATTGTTTTGCACCAATATATTGCAACAGGAGCTGCATAGGGCTAAAACAAATCACATAGGACCACATTGTTCCTAATCTTCCTCAAAGCTAACCTAATCGTCCTTGCCCCTACTACCAATTGATCTAAAGCCTGGGCATGTTTAGGAAGACAAGAACACATAATTTACATGTTTTCCTATTTTACGCCCCATATACTATTACACGAGTAGTAAAGAAATATAAATGGCATTTGGAATCTTAAATGAATGAGAAAGGTAATAGAGTTGTCATAATTGAGATTACCTGTAACCAGCTGAATCTGCCTCGACTGATAAGCTTAGCCCCCCCCTACACAAACATTCATGCCCGACGCTAATTGCGCTAATTATTAATTAGTTGAACTTAAGTCTCTGCATTCACAATGGTAGACATAGGTTCAATGTCTCAATAGTTCCCATGGGAATTGATAGGCAATAGTACATAATCTGTGTATGAAAAAGACAGCATATAAATGAGATGGGATGAACCTACACATGTCATATGCATCAGCAATCATCTATGTAATGAAGATAATAATTGACAAAAGTGCAGGGAGATGAAGTATTTATTGTTTAATATCCATGTGTTAGATCTGCTTACATGCACCTCAATTATTCTCACGAGACAACTATCTCACCCTGCTACATTTGGTTGTCGAGATAACTTGTAAGTTGTAAGATATTAAATCCTAGGAAGGTGGGCTCGAAACTATACACTCTAAGCCCTTTACTATTTAGATCGACTCTTTGCTAGGCCATCTTGGCTGAAACTCAGATGAAAATGCAGTAAAAGAGGAAATGATAACCAAAGATAGTGCAAAACAACTCGATGGCAGGTAAAATAACCTTTTATATCAGAACAATACAACAGATTAGTAACAGTCTACCAGAAAACCCTTATTGAATAAGGAAAAAACCTTTACTCTTCTTTGGTCATACATGTAAACGGGCATGAATACACATGTCCAAGGAACTTACAACTAACATCACCCTTTCCAGTGTCTAGAATTGAGAATCTTTTAGAAATATAACAACCCAACAATGATAATTGATCCCCGACGACAAAAGTCTCTACCATCAACCTGCACATGATGCACAATTACCAGTCAGCGTAAACAAAACCAACCAAAGAACATGGAACATGACCACAATACTTCAGTGGCTACAGCATCTACATGCTTTGTATTTGTTATAATTCGAGGACACATTTGCTCAACCTATAGTGCATACCCTGTTCATGTTAGGTTGTTTACACGCTTCGTATTTGTTGGAACTCGAGGACACATTTGCTCAACCTATAGTACATACCCTGTTCATGTAAGGTTGTTTACATGCTTTTTATTAGTGGTTGAAGTGGATCACCACAAGTAGAAATTAAATCATAGCAAATAAATAAAAAGATACAACCGAGCTTATGATAAAAAGATAGGGCACAAATTATTTACCCCGTTTGTTTCTCCTCAATAGAAAAGACATTCTTATGACACCAAGTTAAATATACAGAGTGTAAGTTTTTTATCTGGTACAAAGATGAGGAAACTTGGAAGGAAAGGTATGTGAGATACTAATATCATCTTATAGAAATAGAGGAAACGTAAGGAATATTGATACCAAGTTATACATTCTTGAATATTTAGCCATATGTTTCTTCAAGTCTAAAAAAGTAGTAAGAAAATGGTACGAAAATTATTTCAACCACTGCAATGAGAATGAACAAACTAAAGAGAAACCCGGATCTGTATATTTGGACTAAACATACCAAGTAAAAAATGTGAGTGCAAACATAAATCAAGCCAGAAACTGCATCTTAATCTTTAACAGCAAAATACTGCAGCTTCTAGTGAAAACAGCTAAGCTAACAGATCCCATCATTAATGTTTTGTACAGACGGTGATGAATCAATCTCTATCACAATCAATTTCACTGACTATAGAGTAAGATCAAACTTCCATTGGCCGAGCATGTTGATGATGGAAAACAAAAATTCATGGCTGACCCGTCTAATACCATGTTACCAATAAAATAATTCCATTTTTCAATATTTAACAAATCATTTTATCATAGACAAGCATTCATCAGTAAGTAAATGGAGCTTAATACAACGTATGTGTTCTATACCTACTTTCATTATCATACACTAAACATTGAACTATCTAAGACTCCGCCAGCATGAAAGGGATATCAAATACAGCTCGAATGAAAATGTAAATTGAAGAACAATTTCGTACCGGTATCTACCAAGAAGATTTCTTGACACCCATAATAAGACCTTTGGATGCCAGATCACGGAAGACGATACGAGAAACACGGAAAAGCTGATAGACACCCCTAGGTCGACCGGTGAAGATGCAGCGATTCCTCAGTCGAGTGAACGAACTATTCCTTGGCAATTTCGACAGCTTATAACGATGCTCTTCTCGCACATCGTTGGGAAGACTCGGATCATTGCAAACGGCTTTGAAAAGCTTCCGCTTCAACTCAAACTTCGCAGCTAGCTGTCGACGATAATGGTCAAGAATGTTCCGCTTGTCCTCCGTCATTTCGTTTGATCTAACTCCGTAAATTTCATGATTAAAATACAAATTCAAAAGCCTAAAAAGATAATCGTTCTAGCTATCTCAACGGACATTCGTTAATCGTTACTCAGTCATTCAATGCTGAGACTGAAAACTCGTAATCGAAAAAAGAACGAGAAGTACAAGAAAAAGGGACTATAGACTTACCTTCAAGCTTTCAAGTCCTCTACAATGGCCGCCTTCGAGCAAACCAGGAAAGCGAGAGTGGTGAAATGAATCGAAATCGACCGAAGAAGATGTAAAATGCGCGACGAGGGAAAGGAAGCAAAACAAGGGCAGCGCGCCAATGAGCCGGTTCAATGGGCTAGCGTTTACGAGCTTATTGAGCCTTGGTTTGGATCTTTGGGCCCAAAAGCTTGTATGGGCCTACGGGAGCAAAGCCTTTTAATATTTGAGGAAATTTAAGGATAGCAATTTTAAAGACATCTATGGAGACAACCTTGTCGTTACACGGTCTATACTCTCAAATAGTTTGTTGTTAACTCTTTCCTCGACTTTCGTCCATAATGGAAGCACGAGTATATTACATGAAAGTTCTCGAGAGAGCGTCGTGACCTAAATTACTTTGGTTTGTAATATTTAACGAAGACGTTACTTTGTCAGTCACCCCAAAACACAGGTTTTATAAACTCGATGATCCCTGATACAAACCAATTAACTCTACGAGTTTCAGAAACATAGGATTTTTTTTCTTCAAGAGTCCCTTAATATTTCTCCGAGAACGAGCCAACCCGATACGAACCTCGAGAAGTTACGACAGCATTGGGTTTGGCTCGAGAGATATGGTTACCGTAAAAATAGGTCATAGCTTAGCCTTATTTGTGTTTGGTATGGTTTGAAGCACAATGGTTGGTGAGATACACTCATAGACAGACAGCCTAAAAGCTTGGAGACATAAAAAAAGACATCTTTTTTTTTTTAAAGCTTGTGATTCAAGCTAAGCTTCCATTGTCTTTTTGAACAACTTCACAATGAGTTTTGAGCTAGACACTCCACCTCTTCATCTAAACTTGTCTCCCAAGCTTGACACTCCACCACTTTCGATTTAAGAAACTCGTTGGTCGTTTTCATTGATTTCATTAGGTTTCTCGACATTTTCGACCCGTATATTAATATGGTTATACAGTTGTTCCGTTAATGTTGTCGAGACGTGCTCGAACAACCATAGATATCAAAAAGAAAAGCCCTCGAGGTAGCCCAAAACTTGTTTTATGTATTATGAGAGATGTTATTGCTTATTTTGTTTCTTATTTCATCTCGTAGTCGTGTTAAGTAGTCCATCTTTCGGTTCAGATAAGTGAGTATGATAAAGGAATCGTGAACAAGAACTAGAGCTAGAGGGGGAAAGTTTTTCAGTGCAAATTTGAGAAAAATATCTCCTAGGTTTGACCCTATTCGATCGAGAACGACTATGTAAACAATAAATGGATTAAAAGGTCTGTGATTTGGAATACTGTAATATCCTAAGCTCACAACTAGCAAACATTGTCATCTTTGAACTTATTATCCCGCTCACTGCTAGTAGCTATTGTCTTCTTTGGGCTTGCCTTTTCGGGTTTCCTCTCTAGGTTTTCAAAACGTGCCTGTTAGTGAGAAGTTTTCATACCCTTATAAAGAATGTTTCGTTCTCCTTCTTATAAAAGATATCGAGTATCGGTCTTCCCGGTGTTATATCGTTTACCTACCTTTGAGATTTCCCATTGGAGAGATTACTTGATTTTGCAGCTATGGGTGGAATTGTGAAATGATGGGCAGTCAATCACTAATGTGTTAGGAATCATGCATTTTTCAAAAAAAAAAAAAAAAAAAAAAA